ATTCACTCTTGTCAAGTTGGATTTTAAAATTTGATTCTCTTAGTCTAGTAAAAACAGATCTTAAACGTTCTATATGTTCTTGCAATGATGTTGAATACACAATAATGTCATCGAGATATACGAGACATTTTTCATTTTGGATTCCACGTAATATGCTGTCCATTATTCTCTGGAATGTCGCAGGCGCATTCTTTAACCCAAACGGCATTCTCAGAAACTCGTAGTGTCCGTTTTCTGTATTGAAGGCTGTTTTCGAAATATCATTTTCGCTCATCTCAATTTGATGAAATCCGCTCGCGAGATCTAAGGTTGTAAAGTATTGACATTTCCCCAATTTGTCAAGCAAATCTGTGATATTGGGAAGCGGATATTTGTCATCAATGGTCTTTTCGTTAAGCTTACGGTAATCAATAACGACTCGCCATTTTTGATTTCCCGAAGCGTCCAACTTTTTGGGCACCACCCAAATTGGAGATGACCACGGCGAATTGCTATGGCGGATGATATTCTGCTTAAGCATTTTATTAATTTGACTCTCCACTTCTTGTTTGTGAACAAACGGGTATCTATATGACTTGGTATACACTGGTATTTCATCAGATGTTTTGATATGATGTTTAATTTTATTTGTAAATGTAAGTGGGGTGTTCTGATAATAAAATACGTCAGAAAATTCAGCACACAAATTAATAATTTCAGATTTTTCCTCTAAATTTAAGTGATCTGTTCGAATTACCGAAGGATCAAATTCAAAATTGTCTAAATTTTCAAAATTATGTAATTCAATATTATTTAAATCTTTTTTATTAAAATTTTCGACTTGAATCGGCTCGGAAAAATCTAAAACTACTGGACTAGTGGTTTTATTTAAAATTGTAGTTACAGCGTATCCGTTCTTAGCAACTGATAAACAGGATGGTATTTCACAATTCTGCAGTTTTTGATATGGAATGAAAATATCACCGTGTTTTACACTTGTTTTTATTCTAATAACTTGTTCTGTTCGTGGAGCTACAGTGATGGAATTTAACTCATGTTTAATTCTGTGAAAAAGTAATCTGATCTTTGAGTATGGCGTTACTAGGTATCCTGTGTCGAAATCAAGGTTGGCTTGTAATAACTTTAAATTATCTAATCCTATAAGTCCATCGAAAACATTGTGAAACTTAAATAAATAAAATTTTAAATTTTTATTGTTAGGCAAATTAAAAATTTTGGATGCAGGAATCGATACACTGAATTTATGGGCTGACTGTTGAAATACTGTTGTTACAATAAATGGATCATTAATAATAAATTTTGAATAAAATTTTGAAGCTAAATATGGATCTAAAAATGATTTTGTAGACCCAGAGTCTATTAAAAATTTTAAATTATGTTCAGGGAAAATAATGTAAGATAATTCGCTAGCATTATTTGTATTGACTGATATTATTGGTGGCGTTACGTATCCGTGTTCATTACCGGGGCGCTCTGAAAATTTTCGTCAGGTTGCGTATATTGTGCAGATTGCTGTTGATATTCAGAATAATTTTCATCGCACACCTCGTATTGATTTTCATAGTTATTGTAATACTGAGATTCAAAATTTAAATTTTCTGGATACGTTTCTTCTGTATACTGATTTGGATCAGTTTCCGCATTGTATAGCTCTTCGAAAACGAATTTTGGAGGTGGATGATAAGATGTCGTATTAGGAAAAGCTGGTTTAATATTACTGGTCTGTTTTGTGGAGATACTCATTGGGGTAGGTTTTGGTAGGGTTGTTGACTATTAGGGTTAGGTTTAAAAACATTTATATTTGAATTAGGTCTTCGAAAAACTTGTGAGTTAGTAGGAAAACGATTTGGAACATTATTAAAATTAGGGCGAATATTAATAGGTTGAGATGGAAAAGTGGGTCTTGGCATAAGTGAATTATTAGGAGCATGATTGTTAAAATTATTAAAAGGTCTAAATTGAGACAAATTGTGATTGTTATGATTAAAATATTGAGGTTTAAATTTATTTTGTTGAGATGGTTCAATTTTAGGTACTGGTTTAGAGAAATTTTGGAAATATCTTGTATTATGTTCTTGCGTAACGAATTGTAACGCTGTTGGAAGGTCTTTAGGCGCCATGCAACGGATTGTGTTGCCTAAAGGTTCTCTCAGTCCGGATAAAAAAGTTTTAAGAGCTAAATCGTTATATAGTTTGCGTTTAAGAGATTTTGATGTACACATAGTTTCATGAATGTCGACGTAAGAGCACAGTAAATTAAGCAAATGTAAGATTTTATCGTAAAATTGATTTGGAGTTTCGTTTGGCATTTGTCTAAGCATTACCAGATCTCGGTTCAAACATGTTTCGTCTCTTTGATCTGCAAAATGTCTATAAAGTGTTTCTTTTAAATCGTCCCAGGTAGTAACGTTATGAATATTAATAACAATTTTGGCATTACCAGTTAATTTTCCAATTAAACAGTTTAGTAAATAAATATTTCGAAAGTTAGTTGGATCACTCGGAATGTAAAAATGATCAATAAGGCTTTGACATGTTGCAAGATATCTATTTAAATCATTTGGTGTCCCATCGAAGGTGGGCACGCAATTTAAATACTCTGGTTTAAAATCGTTTTGTGAATTACTACTGCTAGTACTTTGCATGTTTATTTTTTTTTAGTCTACTATAGATAAAGATATAAATATTTTAGAGTCTCTTAAAGGTTTTATAGATAGCGTTTCAAAAAAAAGTGTATGATAAAATTTCAATCGTAAAACAAATTGCACTTACATTAGGGTGAAAATGACTTTGAGCATTCTTCTATAAGGTAGATTTGTCAGGTCTGCAATTTTGTCTTCGCCAACTGTAATCTGCCTTGCGAGGGTGAGGGATGCTTGCTTCACACTCCGATGAATTGTTCTTTGGGGCACGTCACCAGTTCACGATTGAATGGGCTGTTCGATTTTTGAATGGGCCACTCCAGCGACTGTCCGAAAAGTTCGATTCACCACTGATTCCCAATAAATCGTTGATACGAATACGAACTCGAACGACACGATGCGATACGATTTGGGAATCCTACCGACTGCGCCAATTAACTTATTGAATGTCAAAGTCACCTTTTCTTTAAAAACTACTTTTATTTTTGAATGAATTACATTTAAGTTTTATTTAATTATATAAAATCTAAAAAATTGACATCTGTTTTAAAAACTAACTAGCTTGAAGAGCTCGTGCGACAGAGTGTGTAAAAAATAGAATCTGTACTTGGAAAAATGCTAGTCTATTGTTGTCTATTCAGCACTTATACACACACACACACACACACAATATAACTCGTAAGATGTTCTCTATAAAAATATTTTTCGATAATATCCCAAAATGAAAAAAAATGCATACTATTTAATTTAATTTTTATTGCATTATTAAATATTACGTCCGCCTATGACGGGGTCTCATAGAAAACGCTAAAAACGCTACAGAAAACAAATTGATTTGTTTTCATTTGCGTTTTTTGCGAGACACGCCGAACGCTAGAAACTTTTGGTGGGGCCACTCCTATATAATCCTGTTATTTTGTTTTAGACGCAAAAGACGCTTCACGCTAAAAACGCAAAAAACGCTTTCTGTGTGGCCGTGCACTTACACTTGGTGGTCGGATAACGCAAACCACTACCCGAATTTGACAAAATTTGCGAAAGCATTTCATCAACCTTTCAGCTCCTTGCAGCAGTGTTTTTAGTGAGAGGTTGTTTTCAGAAGCTGGTTTGGTTTACGAAAATAAGCGAAATCTCCTATTACCGACAAACGCTGAAAATTTAGTTTTTATTCACCATAATTTCTTATTAATTTTGACTATTCATTTTTTAAAATTTCCTTTGATAAAATAAAATAACAAGATGACATTTTTTAAGTATCTGTGTGTATTTTTTTAAGTATTTTCATTTATTATTAGTTATTTATGTCACTATAGGAAGTTTCCATTTTTATATTTTCCATTAAAGAGAATAATGAATATTTTTAGTTTTTTTTAAGTTTTTGTTATTTTCACTTTTAAATAAAAGCAGATTAAATTGTAAGTACATATTTTTTGTTATTTATGCCACTTTTGAATATCCGGTATCCGGCCGGATATTGAGTTACTATTCTGTATCCGGCCGGATACCGGATAGTTGCGGGATATCCGTTTCATCTCTAGTTACCACCCTCCATAATGCACAAATTTATTTTTCGTTTAATCTTATTTATAGCTCTTTGAACAGATATTCTTATACTTCCGAATGCATTTTGTACTCTTTAATTGGTTTTTATTACTCGCTAACTGTTTTTGTACTCTTAATGTTGAAATGTATTGATTTCAAATATCCAAAACAATTTTTATTGATTTTCTTTATTCAATGTTAATTAGCGCTGATCAATATTGTTGTGCTAAATATAATCAGATTAAATAAATTAAAAAACCAGAGTCGGGTTTGAAATTATTTTAAATGACAATTAAATAGTTTTTTTTTATTGTTTTACCCCAAAAAAAAGTATCATATCAGTGTGGCATATAATTGTACTCAGGAGACCGAGGTATTTCAAAACCTGAAAAAAAATTAAGTTGGCCTCTGTATCTCACAAATTATAAGCTAATTTGAAAATCTAAAAATACTACCAGATAGCCCTAATAAAGTGGCTACGAGAATGTGCAATTAGTTTTTTGATTTTCTAAAAAATAACGACAGGAAAAAATAAAATTGATTTTCAAAAAAATCCGTTTTTTCCAATAAACTCAACAATCCTTGAAATTACCAAAACTTTTTTGATGGCATTTTGGTCATCATCCCAATGTGCAACTTTGCCCCAATTTAACCATGTTCGTATCTATTGCAGTTACCGAGATACCAGTGCTCGTATCTCGAATTTGTAGCACCCTGTATATACGTAAAAATTAGGTTTTGATTAAAAATGCAGCCGGATCCTGTACTATTACCTTTTATATTTTTATTTTACTATAAGATTTTCTTACCTCGTAGAATTAGCCGATGCAGTGGAAAAACTGGCAAAAGCAGAAACCATGTGTGCATTCGCCGGCGCAGTTCAAGCTGCCGAGGCTGCTGCGGAAGCGGCACCACCTGAGTTGGCGGAAGAAGCAGCAGTGGCAAGCGCCAGAGGTTTTCAAACTGAGGTTGCAACCTCAAATTTCCATCAAAACATTAGTGGAGTGAGACCCATTGAGGTGATCGGTTATATTGGTATTACAAAACCAAAATACCCAACGAAAAGGAAGTAATAGAATTTATATTGATTGCATAATATATTTTATATTACGATATTTATTTTTTCTGATACAAATACTTTTGTAAATATGGAATTTTACTTGCAGTAAATTATTTAATTATGTGTATATATTATGTACTTCTATACATGTTATACTTCAGTCCTTTTTAAAATTTCTTTTTGTATATATAGGAACTAATTAAACATTTTGGAAGAAATAATAATAAATATAATAAACAAGGTCTGGATTTATTTTAGAATATTTTATTTTATACAGCGTGCTCAAAATTCGAGGTACGAGCATAGGTATCTCGAAAACCGTAATAGATACGAAGATGGTTAAATCGGGGCAGTTCATCAAAAAGTTCTAAAAATTTCATGGATTGCTGAGTTTTTTGGAAAAAAACGGATTTTTGGGAAAATCAATTTTATTATCCTGTCGTTACTTTTTAGAAAATCAAAAGACGTATTACACATTCTCATAGCAACATTTTATTAGGGCTATCTGAGTATTTTTAGATTTTCAAATTAGCTGATAATTTGTGAGATACAGAGGCCAACTTAATTTTTTTAAATATGGACCTGCATTTTTTACTTCAGGTTTTGAAAGAACTCGGTCTCCTGAGTGTAATGATATGCCACACTTGATACTTTTTTTTGTTTTGGGTACAACAACAAAACTAGTTAATTATTATTTAAAATAATTTCAAGTACGACTCTGTTTTTTTTAATTATTTAATCTGATTATATTCATCGCAACAATATTGATCAGCGTTAATTAACATTGAATAAGAAAAATCGAGCTAATCCAAAGATTCAAATAAATAATATCCAGGTCAGCAATTTAAAGATATTATTTTTAACTTTTTTATTGTGAATTTGGAATCTCAGTGTACGATCTAATAATATTCATAATATCAATCGTAGTTGTTATAAATAAATCAAATTCTATAAACTAGTTTCTAATGCTCTACATGTTCGAAAGTTAAGTTCCTAATACACAATTTTTTTATTGTTCAATCTTATTTATAGCTCTCTCAATAACTTCTTGTTATAGTTCCGAATGCATTTTGTACTCTTTATTGTAAATGTTGAAATTTATTGATTTCATGTTTACAAATGACGCCAAGTAATGCCCCTTTAGTTATTGCATTTGATTTTCCGTATTCAATGTTCAATGTTTTAACCCACATCATTGTTGAAAGTTTGAAAGCTTATCAATATTGTAACGATGAATAGATTAAATTTAAAAAAACAGAGCCGGACTTGATATTATTCATTAGTATAAATAAATTATGTTCAAATGTCCAAAAGAAAAAAAAATATTAAGTGTGGCATATCGTTGTATTCAGGAGACCGAGTTCTTTCAAAATCTGAAATAAAAAATGCAGGTCCGTATTTAAAAAAATTAAGTTGGCCACTGTATCTCACAAATTATCAGCTAATTTGAAAATCTAAAAATACTATCAGATAGCCCTAATAAAGTGGCAATGAGAATGTGTAATTAGTTTTTTGATTTCCTAAAAAGTAACGCCAGGAAAAAATAAAAATTATTTTCAAAAAATTCCGTTTTTTTTAAAAAACTCAGCAATCCTTGAAATTTTTAAAAAAATTTTGATGGCATCTTGGTGAACATCCTAAAGCGTAACTTTGCCCCAATTTAACCATGTTCGTATCTATTCAGTTACCAAGATACCTATGCTCGTACTTCGAATTTGTAGCACCCTGTATATAAAGGGTATTCCAATAAGAGGTTTCGGATTGATAACTAATAAAATAAAAGTTTCGTAACATCCCTTAAACTCATTTGCCAGTGTGTAGCTGAATAGTGTGCAATAATTATACGTGGAACACAATATCTGCCAAATGTTCGACTTCTCTGGCCACGACTGCCACGACTTCTCTGGCAGCACACTATTCTTTTGTTGAAATTTTCCATTACTGCTGAACATATTTCTGGAATTAAGTCACGAATTATTCGCCTAATTTCTTCTTTGCGGATTGTTTTCGTAAGCTTTGCTCTTCACATAGCCCCACAAATTATAATCTAGCATGATCAAGTCGCATGATCTGGTGGCCAATTTACGTCCCCATTCTTGGAGATAAGCTTCCCTCCAAATTGTGTACGCAATATTACGTAATATTACGTACGCAATGTTTAAAATGTACGCAATGTAATAAAACATACGCAATATAATAAAACATACGCAATGTTTCACCTGCTCTGTGACATGTCGCACCATCTTGTTGGTATCACATATTCTCTATATCCATATCCATTATTTGATCTCATAAAAATACATCAGTCATCGTTCGGTATAGTTCCCCGTTTACTGTAACAGCTTGTTCGTTTTCATCTTCTTGATGCTTGACTTGACGCCGCTAGATTATTTTTTGTGGGGCTATGTGAAGAGCAAGGCTTACAAAAACAATCCGCAAACCATTGAACAATTGAGAGAATAAATTAGGCGAATAATTCGTAACATAACTCCAGAAACGTGTTCAGCATTAATGGCAAATTTCAACAAAACAATTGTATGCTGCAAGAGAAGTCTTGGTAGCCATTTGATAGATATTGTGTTCCTTGTATAATTGTACACTGTCGAGCTACGCGCTGCCATAAATAACTTTTAGGTATGTTATGAAACTTTTATTTTATTCGGTTTTAACATCCGAAACCTTTTATTGGAATACCCTTTATATTGGATATTAGATAATAATATTAAAGAAGAAGTTAGAGATGGAAGATAGACGGAAGAAAAATAAAACACTAATTCACCACGATACACAAAAACACTTTTTTAAAATTATACTATTTTAACACGAAGGTGCTCGATTTTTTTATATTCTGACAAAACTGATTACCTAGTTTTAGTAATTTTTCTTATGTTATTAACATTGTTAACGAAACGCGCGTGCAGTGTTGAAGTAAAGTTTTTTTTTATTGTATTGTAGTGAATTAGTGTTTTATTTTGCTGCTGTAACACTAAAGATTCCGAATCTAACTGTATTCTAGACGGAACCTTCATGTTTCTCTTGACGAATTTGAATTACTGCGAGTATGCCGCGCATTTCTGTTACAGGATTATTTTATTTCTGTTACTGTTATATTATTTCTTGTTTATTTTATAAATGGTTACTAGTGATGTTGATTTTCGTTACTTTTGATTACTCGTTACTAATCGTTACTCGACTACTAAGTAATCATTTCAAATATTCGTTACTTTGAATACTATGATTACTTTGATGATATATTAAATGATAAATAAATACTATAAGTAGTTATAGTGATATAGTGATGAAAATAATCATATGGTTATAATTTCGTTACTCGTTACCTTCCCGTATCCTGATGTATACTGTACACTTATTGCGCTGTACACGTGCGACGTAATTTCGTTTTGTATTCGCAAATACCCTATAGATACGACTATTATGTTTTACAATACAATACTATACATATTAGGTATTAAGTATAAGTGACCCATGATAAATAATAAATACTATAAGTAAAATAATGATCGAAAACAAAACGGCATCAGCGATGGCTATGAAATGAAGATCTTTGTCATTTTATATGTAAAATTATATGGGGAATGTCATCGATGTTCAATTCCAAGCCATCTGGACGCGGTTTTTTTTCGATCTTACGGTAATGTAATAACAATAATCAAAGTAATCGTATGGTTTTATATTCGTTACTCGTTACTTCGGGTATCGATGAGTAATGAGTACTCGAGAAACAAGTAGTTAGTTTTTACTTTTTTAACATCTCTAATGGTTATATGCAAAGTGTATAAAAGAGGAAAAATATTAAAAAGAGGCTTCAAAAATAAATACTTCAGAAGCGTGTAATTATATAAAAAAAACTATTGGAGTAAATTTACACTAGTAAGTAATTATTAATTATACAGGGTTCGGCAATAGTGTATCAGGCTTCTGTAGCTCTTATAATAAAAGTTGTAAAAAATTGAAAATTTTGTTTAAGTTCAGATCTAAAGTATGTTAGGATAAAATATTAGGATGTATTTCAGGAAAATATTTTAACTTCTACAGGGTGACTCAAAATAGTGTGAGTGGATCGGAATGATTTTTGCCTGGTATTTTACCGTTGAAAGAGATACCCATATCTAATAAAACCGCGAATACCTATTTGCGAAACCGCTAAAAATTTTAAAAAACTCTAAATACAAAAAATGTTCATTTTTTAATTCTCCATCTAACCAAAGATATAAATACATATTTTTACATATAAATTCCATTTAAAAAAAAACGAAGAAAAACAATTTTTTAAAAAGTTTGGCATTGAATTTTGAACACCCTGTATGGTTTAAGATCATGAAGAAAACCCACTACAGTATATACCTAATATACAGGATATTTCTTGTAGTTTTAATATTTTTTTTAAAAGGCAATAAAAATATATTTTTTTATTAATATCTTTGAAACTATCAAAACATATTTAATAATATATTAGGATTGTATAAAGTTCTGGGGTTCTGGAAAATGTTCTTCATCTTTAAAAATGCATTTTTGCCCCGTTTTATTCTGGATTGATTCTGGTTGTTAACAATCTAGAACGCCAAATATTTGAACTTGTAGACCTGTTCTAAGATATTGTGACCTGTTCTAAAGCCGCGTCCAAGCTAAACGAACAAAACCGTTCGCGAACATATATAATTAACACTATCTACATAGCAGTAGGTCGTAAACGACGGCACAGCCCATCAGTCCCGAGGACTGAGGTGCGGGGAAGAATGCGACAACCAGTTTACTCTATAGATCTAGGATGCGTTTAGGTAGTCGCTGTTTTTTCGCGTGCCCGGCTTAATGTGAGTTGAGAAAATAAATATGGATGATAACGTGAAATTGCGGCAGCTGCTTTTATTGTATTGGCTGATGATTGCAAAAGAAGACAAAAAAAGAAACTCTGTAGCAAAACAAAATTGATGCAAAGCTGAGAAAACTACAGTGCAAGCATTTTATTAAATAATTTAACCGGTAAACAGTTTAAGAACTTTTGTCGTTGAAGAATCAATATTTAGCAGGCGGAGGGTCACAGGGTCACAGTTTGGTAGATTATTCATTATAGTGTATTTTTAAGACCTGTATTCATTTTTAGCCGATTCTTTCAGGTGTTTTTCTAGAGGGGCTCACCTTTTTTACTTTTTTATTTTTTCAGATAATACAACGAAATTTGGTTTGTTAGTATATGACATAAATCGGGATTGATTGAGGTA